TATTTGTAAATTTTTTAAAAGGACAATATTTCACGTTTAAAATGTAATATAATTTATATAATTACACATATAGTTCATTATTTTTAATAACAAAATAACATAATATATATTTATATATATTATAGTTATAATAATATATATTATTTGGATACTAATAAATAAATTATATAACAAATATTAATTTTTATGAAATTTTATAGGTAAATCGTTTAATGCTCTACCGATAAATAAATTATGATAATTAATATATAAATTATATATAATTGAATAATTTATGTAATAATATGAAAATTTATGTTCTAATCAAAAATTCATTTAATATTTTAAAAATATTTAACCTTTTTACGTAATAATATTTCACATATAAACTATAGTATAATTTATATAATGAATAAAATTATTTATTTGGTGAAAATATATTCTTAATATATTATTAATATATTATAAATATATAAATATTATTTTAAAATAAATATATTATTATATTAGCTATAATGGTAATTTTAAAATTATATACTCCTAGTTATATGCCAATCATTTTATTAAAAACTTTAATGAAAGCATACATCTTCTACAACATATTGTTTCTACAGCATACTGTTTCTACAACATACTGTTTCTATAGTATATTCCTACTATTTTATCGTTTGTTGTACCAATCGAATTCTCAATGTGTTGTAGTTGTCTACATGCATTCGAATCTTAAAATCATGAGAAAATAGAAAAATAACCCAACATTTAATCTCTTATATATTATTTTAGGAGCACTTTTAATAAATATCCTTATCTTTATGTGTGATTAACAAAATTACCATTATTTATATGGCAACCTCACAAGCATTCTTAGCCCATTTATGAAAATAGACATTATTTACTAAAGTATTTACAATTCAATGCCATTAGACCTATGTTTTTCACTATAAACTACTTCATATGTTAATTGTTTCATTTGGTTTGTCTCTTTGGTCCAATAATAAACGGATAATATAATCAATTATATGGTAAAACTATAATGTATTTGTTCATATTCATGTTCTTTTCTAAAATTTTGATATGTGACATTGTCTTTGTGGTCATGAAATATTCACTGTTTTTTTTAGATCACATATCTTTATACGATATTTTAGTATGTGACATTATTTATTTTAAGTTAGGAAAATATTATATAAAAAATATGTCTAAATATATATATATATATATACACATATAATATTAACATTAGTTGTGTTTTTGGTCAACAATATTGTATAAACATATACATTTGTCTAAACATATATATAAACATTAGTTGGCTTATGACTGAATGTACAATACTTTCAAAAGAAATTCCATATTAAATTTCTTGCTCCCTTAACTTAAGCACATTGACTTTTAATTAAGGAATCAACATTAATGTTGACATTTCAAAATAATATTGTGGAGTGAAATTATCATTAAATAATATTTTTCCTATATTTCATTTCCTTGCATATAATATTTTCTAAAATCATATATAGTTAATATTTTCTCCATAAATATTCAATCCGGTTAACTCTATAGCTAATGTCATTTCATCTATTATTTTATTTCCCTGCATATAATAAAAAATTTATAAATTATAAACGAAAATTTAAGAATTATTTGGATTGTATTATAGTTAATGTCATTTATTATATTCCCAAAAGCATAAATTATAAATGAAAAGTTAGGAATTTTTAGAATTTTATTTTCACGATGAAATATTTGTTTGATTCAAATCTTGTGGGACTAAACCCTATTAATTATGATTCTATATATCATATTAAACTAATGTCTACGGTATCACAACCTACAAGTTTCAAAACTAGCAAAGAAAATTAGTGGCATGAATTTAATCTATGACTTGAAGTCAAATAATTATAATTTTAAATAAAAAGTTTTTGAACTGATATCCCCTTAACAAATTTTTAAAATTATTTTAACTATGATTATAAGATCAATTGTAGAACGGGAAAATTGACAAAATAACCCTCAACTTTCGAAAATAAGCCAAAAAAAACTCCAACTCACAAACAAGCCATTTTAATAATCTTCAACTTCTAGTCAAACACGAATAAATCTCATACTTTCGTTGACTAAGCCATTTTAATCTCGTCAAAATTCAACCGTTTAGTTCCGTTAGTTATATTTAACGGTTGACTTTTAATGAGTCTAAAATGGCTTGGTCAACGAAAATATGAGATTTTTTTTATTTTAATTTAAAAGTTGAAGATTAAAATTGTACACTTATCTTAACTTAAAAATTGCTATTTTTCTTTATTTTGTTCAACAAAAATTGTAGTTTATCATATCAATTAGAATGACAAACTTAATAAAATATGTTCATATAAGCGTAGTTATAATATTTTTAAATAAACTAAAACCAAAAAATTGTTTAGTAAAAAACTTTGATTAAAAATATAAGTATACTTTAAATCCATATATAAAATAAAATAATTAAGTGCTTATGTTCAAAAAAAATTAAGAATAAAAACATAAAATTTAAAGGTAAAACCCTAAACACATTATTGTTAAAATTATAATCGCATATACTCAATAGAGGATGAAACAAGTGAAAATGAGGAACTCAAGTGCGTGAAAGGGATTTCCAGCAGTTGATGTATATAATTTTTTAATTTATTTTTAAATATTATATCTAAACTTATTTGAATATATATTATTAAGTTAGTGATTACAATCGATATAAAAAATTATATTTTTCTTCTGTCAGTTAAAAAAAATCTCATACTTTCGTTGACCAAGCCATTTTAGGCTCATTAAAAGTCAACCGTTAAATATAACTAACGGAACTAAACGGTTGAATTTTGACGAGATTAAAATGGCTTGGTTAACGGAAGTATGAGATTTATTCGTGTTTGACTAGAAGTTGAAGATTAAAATGGCTTGTTTGTGAGTTGGAGATTTTTTTGGCTTATTTTCGAAAGTTGAGGGTTATTTTATCAGTTTTCCCATTGTAGAACGTGACTAACATTGATGGTTTTCCAAAATTGTGTTTGAACCCGATGAGGTACCAGAAAACTATGCTTTAAGAACGGAGTAATACATTTTGTTTAATGATTTTGGTAAATAACTGTGTTTATACATATGTTGATATCTTTTGTTATTTCTCTTAATAGGATTGTAAACGAATAGTTTTGAAAACACTAATCAGCGCAGTTGTAGTTTTTTCTAGTTTTTCTGAATTATTTCCTTATATCAGCTACTTTCATAATTTATTATACTATTACCTATATTTCATTTTATATTATATTTGTAATTTATATTATGAAAGCAATAATTATATTTATCTTAAATTCCTAAGTAATTTATACAAGTATATGCTTAAGCTTATAGATTTGTTTCCACAAACTATACTTGTAGTACATTTAAACAATAATACATGTTCTTTCTAAAATAAAATTGAAGCTTACCTTATATATATCTACACAATTTCGTTACATCTTTCACTCTATAAGATGTATTATTTGTAACTATGATTTTCACGTTTTTAATATCTAAAGATAAAGTTATATTTTAAAAAACATTATTCATTCCGTGCAGAGCGCGGGATATCACTTAGTAATTAATTATTACCACGTATTGAGATTAATGATAGTAAGCTCACTAGTACACCACAGTGGCGGAGGCAGGTGGAGAGGAGGGTGGTCAAATGACCCATGTGATTTTTTCTTATTAAAAACTTTTACATGTATTTTTGTTATAAATTAAGAAAATGCTACAAATTTGGGATGTATTGACCCATGTAACTCACATTAATTATGAACTTGACCCTCCTAACATATTGGGCTGGCTCCGCCACTGGTACACCACCATGTCCGATTTAATGAACTGTCGTCAACTATCATATCTTTAAGTCTCACCAAGTAGATACTATACCTGCCTGTATATTTGCTGTTTATATATAGTCGAATATTACTAGTTGCCAAGGATCATAGATGCCTTTGAAAGATATGAATTTGTCTTAACGAGTTTGATAGGGTCTTTTTCTTCTTTTCACTAAACTATGTGTGAGCAAATCGTTTCATGTAGTGTGGGGTTTTCACCTGTTTCGCCATTAACTATTATATATCATGACAAAAAAGCTATTGAATAAAAGATATTTTATCTAGGGCTATAAACAAAGTTATTTGTCACTCTCAAATCTAAGGGTCCAATATGTTTGGGAATCAAGAAGTCTCCATTTGCCTCATAGTTGTGAGCAAAGTAAGGTGTTGGCCACAAGCAATCACCTTATTACAGTTTATATTCTTTCACTTTTGACTTACAGTAAAGAAGTGGACAAAAACAAAATAAAAGAAAAAAAGAAGAAAAGAAGAAAAAAATAATAAATGTAAAAGTTGTAAATAAAAGATCTAAAGATATCATCACCATGTGATGCTATTTCCCAACACCTAAATTTGATTTATTTTATCTTACACTGTAATCAGTTAAGTTTATCATAACTTTGTCTGTTCCACTATTAATTTTATAATCATCATCTCATCAAAACACATACACTATATATGACATATTATAGTATTAACTCGAAAAGGAAGTTAGTCAACAAACTTGCCCACTAACGTGAATTACGTGTGACTGCGATCATTATTCATCTCCCATTAGAAATTTTAGAAAATAATGCAATAGTACGTAAAATTTTGGTGATTTAAATATACTAAATTACTAATTTATACGTCCCAATCAAATACTTTAACTATATGTAACAACTTAAAAAAAATTTCAGTTCTCACAAAAGAATAAGATTTTAAATCGTATGTGACTAGTCATTATATTAAGGAAAACAGATTTTTGAAACCAGAAATAACTCTCAAACGAGTGGAAAACAAAGATTTATGCAATTATTTAATTTTTACAAAGGATGTAACAAGAAAACTATCACAAGTTAATTTCAATAAATGGAAAAGTATAAGATTATGACGTTGGTTGTCAACAAACAACTTGTTTTTTTTTTTCAACGAACAACTTGATTTTGTTCCTATTTTTTCTTTATTCAGAATATGTTCTCACCACATGTATATTACAAAAATATTCATCAAACACTCTTTTTCTCAATAAAAATAAAAATAAACCCATTTCTATACAAAAAAAAAATCACTAACACACAAATTGAAAGAAAAACAAGCGTAAATAGAAAAAAAGTAGGGTAAACTAATTAGATATTAAGCTGGAGAGTGTCATTTAGGTCACTGAGACAGAAACACGGCTCATCTTTATCAACCCGAAACCCAGCATCGGCTCCACAAAGCTGCCATGTGGACGAGTAATAAGCAAACGCATCGTTTCGTATCATCATCTCATCAGTAAACAAATCTGGCAGATCAAACAGCTGCTCCTCGTCGCTATCTTTGTCCACAAACGAAGTGGTCGAAGCACATGAAGTTTCTAATGACTCTTGGGTTGTAATGTCCGAAGAAAACACCACACTACCTGACAAAGACTGAGCCATCACTTCTTGACTCGGTTGGGCTTCATCTAATGCAGCTACATCGGAATCTTGCCAATTTACAGCGGCTGCGGTGGCAGCGGCTTGAATATCTTTAGAAGAGTTTGTGACCGGACGAGGAAGCTCGCCGGATAATTCAGGAAAATTGAGATAAGCCGTTGTACCTTTAATGGCTAAAGCCGCCACATCATGAGCTCGAGCAGCCATATCAGCCGTTGGATAAGTTCCGAGCCAGATTCTTGATTTCTTCCTCGGCTCTCTGATCTCAGATACCCATTTGCCCCAACTTCTCATCCGTACTCCTCTATACGTTGGATGCTTATCTCCGCCGCTGGTCTTTCGCCGTTTTATGACGTTGTTATCATCTTCTTGAACTGCTAATGATCTTCGAGATACTTTTCTTATAGAGTTGGTACCCTTAGAGAAATTCAAAGTTGTTGATGAAGAAGAGGAGGATGTTGTGGGTGAGGACAATGAGGCGGTGGAAGAGGAAGATGATACGGCGAAGATGGTGGAGGAGGTTAAGCTAACTTGAGAAGCACTCTTCTTTATGTTGATATGTGATTCCATTGTTAGAGAGAAGCTTTAGAAAAGAGGGTTACACAAAAAGAGATGTGAAGTGGGTTTGTATTAATTAATATTCGTCCGCAATCTCTTTTTTCTTTTGGCTTTTTCTATATTATAAGGAAAATAATATAAATGTAATCGTTTTTTGTTATAATGTATATATAATACATGAATTATGGAGGATGGAATGGGGTCCATGCGTGGAACAAAAATGAGATATGAATGAGATTCACCGTTTTAGCTGACCAGTTTTGATCCATGTACAAATAAATAGAAACAAGATTGTTTCACAGGTATATTCTTCTTTTTTTTTTTTTTTTTTTTTTACTATTTCATATGTTTTCTTCTAACCAGAAATTATTCTTTAGTTTTAACAAGAAAAAGACATGTATTTACTGAAGAAAAAGAGTATAATGTATTATAATTGCATGGTACGCATCTAAAATGTCCCGACCTCGTGCATGTGCGTCACCTATTAACATATGAATTCCCATCTTCAACTTTTATTTCTTCCAAATAAAATCGGGGTACGACGTCATATATATAGTTTAGCATATATTCTTTCTCAGAGTTTCATTTTTTCGTCTTTAGTATATTTGATTGGCAAAATAAGAAATATAGTACGATACTGCGACATAAAAAAGAAGAAGAAGAAGAAACATAGTACAATTAAAAGAAAAAAAATCGAGAGAAAGTACGAGCTATGTCTATACTCGGATGTAAGAGCATCCACAATGATGGATTCCATTGTGAAGTCCTTAGGGAGTATTTTAGTATTTTTTTTATTAAATAGTTAAGGATTCTTAGCAAAAAAAACAGTTCAATGGTGAATTCTTTTTAGGAATCTTTAGAATTTCTTTTTTTTGTTAAACATAAGAAATTTGAAATTTTATTAATCACATTGACCGGTTTAATAACATCTATTTGAACAATACAAAATTTTATGTTTGTTTGCAAATGTAACAAAACTCGACTTTAAAAGACTATGAATTTGACATATATAAGAGATCGAGATTGGAGTGTATGAATTTAGTCATGATCGAATTTGGATTTAGTAGACAACAATCTGAAGACTTAGGTTTAAAAACAATATTAAGATGAATACATAGGTTTAAAAACAATTTGAAACAATAGAGCAACAAGAGAACAACAACAACTACTTAGACGGACATGTACAAGAATACATGAATCAAGTGACCAACATGGAACACCAACAAATGAAGAAGAACGTAAAAGAAGATCATATGACCAGGAGAAATACATAAGATAGAAGAGACATAAACCTTGTTCTTGATTAGTTAGTAGGAGAAACAAAGTACATTACAAGTCTAGGAGAAGTAGAGTACAAACCAAATAGCTTACAAGAGTGATGAAAAGGAAACAAAGCAAAGGACCTAGCTAAACAGAAGTGAAGTTGGACAGCAAAACCCGTGAAGAAGATCACATGGCCTACAAGGAAAACAACTTGCACTTGTCCAGTTGCACCCGTGAGTGAACCTGCAACAACAAAACATACTCTGAAACAGAAAACAATAAGACAATAACAAGAGATATAAGAATTCATGTCCTAGTCAGAAGCAAAGCAACAAAAACATGCATCATTTAGTCAGAAGCAAAGCAACATAAACATGCATCATTTAGTACCAAACAACAGAGATAGTACATTCATTACAACCTTAGGTAGTATGACCGGTGAAACAAAGAGACGAGGAACTTGAGCTAGAAGCAATGTGACCTGCTGAACAAGACAAAACAAGCAAGTTAAACCAGAAGCAATGTAGTAAAAGAAAGAACAAGCAAGTTAAAGACAGAACTAGCAAGTCAACTCCAACATAAAAGACTCACTACTCTTTCTGCTCAAGTGTTTGCTTAATATTTTAGAACACTCTTTGCTTTCCGGACATACACACATCAATGGAGAAGTTTTCCCATCTCCAACCACATTGAACACAAATAAGTCTCCTATGTCGCATATGTTATCAAAACATAACTTTCTCCAACCTCTTTTGATGTAATACATGCCGCCTGATTACCTAAATCACAAACTCACAGTCCATGAATTTCCCTCTTTGTTCACTAGTATCATCTCTTGGCATTGTTTGTTCAAAAGTAGAACGTGTAACTGCCACATGAAGATGCTGCAAACACAGAACGTAAAGACACAGAACATATCACAAGTTTATCTTTTTTTAGATTTGAAATAGAGACACAAAACGTAAACTACTCACAAGTTTGTCTTTTTTAGATCTGAAGCAGTGACGTAAGCCTAAAAACAGTAGTCGAATGAGAAAGAAGACATTTCCCATGTTCCTCCTGAAACATAAGAAACAACTTTCCACGTGAAAAACATCTCACAAGTTTGCTATGCTATTACGGTGAACTTTGTTTGAAACTTACTAATCTTGTAGTGATGCTCAATGTCATCAGCATCACCCGCAGCATCATCCGCGTCGGCTTCTTCCTTGATGATGTGAGGATGTGTATACTGAATCTCAAAACAGCTAGGACCAAAAGGAGTGACATGAAACACCATGTCTCCTTCGTGTTTGAACATGACAAGGTCACCGATTCGAAGGTCATGTGCCGTGGTGAAATATTTTCAACCTCCGGTGAGTCTCCTTCCTTCATGTATCACTTCCCAAGTATTATCTGAAGCGTCCGATCTTAGTTTCCATGTTTTCTGGTTCGTCTTCCCTTCTATGTGCTTTGAGAAGAAGCCAAGTGGTATTGTCTGCAAGTCAGAAAAGCCAAAGTTAAGCAAAAATCAAAATTAGGAACATATACAGAGGAGAAATAGAGAGAGAGAGTGTCTACCACGCCACTGTGGAAACCAGAAAGCAGAGGGTTGAAGAAATGGGTTCATGCGGATTCGCCATCTGCAAACAAGCTGAGTACAAACAAATGAATCCCCAAATCAATTGAAGCACAAACCATTTTAAAACCCTAACTACAAACTAAAGAATGCCCAAATCAATTGAAACCCCAATCGTTTCCAAACACTAACTTCGAACGGTAAGATCCTCAAATCGATTGAAAACGAAAATCCCAACCCGAAAATGAAGAAAACAACATGTAAACGATTTGGAATCCATAAATCAAACAAAGGACCCTTCAATTTACCTTGTAAATCAGAAGAGAGCAAATCACCTTTCTCGCAGAGACAAACTTTTTTTCTCTCGTGTAGAGTAGAAAATGACACGTTATCATCCTCCTCTTGAAACACATCGCGAAACCAACCCTCCTCCACTGCCACGTCAACAAGGACAGAATCCTTAAAGTCCCTAACTACAGATCAATCCTTAAGTTAATGACACTTTTATTAAATTTTTATTCTTCATACCTATGTTCTCTCGCTAAGGATTCATTAAGGACCTTAGTTGCAGGTGCTAAGCCATACAAAAATGCTATTTTGACAATTCTATATGTGAATCTACGCACATGAATGCACAGTCAAACTTTTATAAATTAATAATGTTGGGATTACACCGAAACTATATTTTTTTATTAATTTATAGAAATTATTAATTTATTAATATATTAATTGAATCAAAATTTAATTTAGGACTATAACATTATACTATTTTATAGAGATATTTAGTGTATATTAATTTATGGATTATTAATTTATAGAAGTTCTATTGTACAACTACTTACTACAGTTGCTCTGGTCCCAAATAAACAAACTATATTGATTTTTACCCTCAAGGCATATTCTATTTCACGTGCCGTAAATACTTTGAAGTACAATCGGTGGTAATAAAAATATAATCACGAGATTCACACTTCGTTGACAAAAGGCATCATCAAGCCATTTCTTTTAATTAATTTCACAACTAAAATCAGGGGAGGAGGCAATGAAGGACTCGTGGGATCAGCTGACCCCATTTTTAAAAATATATTTGTTTTTGTTTAAATTTTTTATTGACATCATTTAAAAATAAAATTTGACTCCACAAAAAAATGATCTCAATCAATTAATTACAAACATTAAAAATGAAAGATAAAATTTAATTATATAAATAATATGAATATATTTTGGACTTATTTGTGAAATAGCCATAAAATTGTTTTTTAGAGAGAGAGAAAAAAGAGATAAGAAGAGGATGGAAGAGAGAGAAAGAAAATTTGGTTAGCTAGCTAATTTCTTTTTGGTGTAGGTATAGGGTATAATTTTCCTATATTTTTTATTTTTTAAACATTGAATTGATGAATTTTAACCTAAAATTCAATAAAAACATTTTAATCCTCAATTTTAGTTACATATTTGTATTAAACTCAAACTATATTAGACCCAAATAATTAATATTAGAAAAAGTAATATATGAGTGAATTTGAAAAAAAAATATGGTGATTTGTATTTCTTTCTGGACGAACGCAAGACTGCAAGAATTTTCATGCTCAACAAATAATTTTTAGATAAATTTCAGGTTAGCTTTCTATTTTCTTGTTATACTCTTTTTTGTTTCTTACACTATTTTACAAAACTAGAAATGATTACGATTTATTAATTCAATTCAATAAAAACGTTTAGGATTAATCTATGTTCATGATCTGAAGATCTTTAACAAGTAATTCTATATTTAGAAGTAGACTAATGTTAAATTTTAAAACAAATCGAGATTGACAATTTAGTTATACGGCATTGGATTAACGACCAGTTAATTATTATTCAATGGTTTACGGTTATTAAATCGATTATCAGTTGTAACAAACTTTGCTTAATAAAAAGGCAAGACTCGTGTGTTGTATATTAAGGAGAGTTAGTGATTTGCCTTTCCAAACCCCAGAGACGTAGCCACATCGGTGACCTCTAGGTAATTAGTTAATAGACTATCGAACTTGTTCAAGTTGGGCTAGTTTACACAAGTTACACGAGTATGAACAATCGGCTCAGTCAAAAAAGTCCATTAGGTCAAGTATTGATATTTAGGATGGAGAGATGACGACAGAAGACCAAAACCTAAGCAAACACAAGGTAAACACAAAGGAGAGGAACAGAAGAG